AGAATTAACGATATTGATTGTTTGACTACTTTCGTGATCTTTAATGAATCCAGACTTCTTGAAGCCATTCATTATCGTAGAGGAAGACACATCATTCCATGCCTTGTCAGCCATTCTTAATTTTCTTTTCTTTTTTTTCTGAATATTTTTTTAATTTTAGAAAAAAAATCTACTTTATTTATGGAGAAAAAAAATTCAAGTTATCGAGAGATTAGAAAAAAAAATTCGTGAAATCAAGTTTTTTTTAACATTGAATGTACAGGAAAGTTGAAGGGAATTTTTTCTTCTTCGAGATATCGAAAAATTCGTGAAATCGAGGTTCGAGTTAGCGAGGTTCAACTGTATATATATACATATATATTATCTATACATAATTTTTTTTTCTTTTTAATTCTTTATGCCATTGAGTTTAAAATAATTTTAAATCAAAATTTTCAAGCTTAGAAAATATAGTTAGAGCATGAAATTGAGTATTATAGGAAATATTGTTTGTAAAGAAGTTAAATTTGGAAGATGTGCAATGTATGCAACCGGCATTCTTCAGGCTTAATTCTTTGGAAAAAAATTTGTTTCATCATTATGATTTTTCATACACATAATTTTTTACGAGAACAATCAACCATTGTATCCTTTTCCACGGATATGTATGTGGATTCTTATCCATAATAGTCAGCAACCAGTGGAAGCAAAAGAATTTTCCATACTACAATATCTTTTTTCAAAAAAAATATTTGGAAAAATTTTATTTCAATTTGAAAATTATTCAAAATACTTTTTTTTCTTTTTCAAACTGTTGATTGCAAGCTGAAATGATATAGGAATAAAACAAAATATTTTAGTTTCTCTTTACAAAATTGCCATGTTTGCAAGAGGAATTCAGAAAAACGACTTTAGTTCATACCATTTACATGAATGGCAATTTAAACAGCATACCTGCCAACATTGGAGAATAAAATATGGAGATTTTACTAGTGACACTTTTTAAGCTATGAGTAAAGTTTTGATACATCATGCATCTAAGTCAAAAAGAGAACTTCAAAATTGAAAATAATATAAGCATCTACAATTAGAGAAGTAAAAAATATGTTTATAAATCTTAATTAAAGAAGATTTTTTTACACCATTATTTATATTTACTTAATAAACTATTAACACACAATATACCGCAGTACTGGCAATAGAATAAACTATTTTATTTTATAACCGTTGTTGAACAACCGACCCAATTTTGGGTTTACAATTGGGTTCAACTCCGTAGTTTTGTAATTTTGAACCCAACCAGAAGACAACAGAACTCCTGAATCAAGTATTGGGAGAAATTTGCTTTAGGGGAACTTTTTTATGGAACTAACCCACATTTGTGTTACGTGGAGAGGAAAAAAACAAAATCATCCCACGGTTAGCCTGACGACAAGGGGACTCTAACCTGTGATCTGTTTACCACTGAAGACATTTCACGCCAGTACTGTGGTCAGTGCAAGCCAGATGCGGAACTCGTACTAACCAGTCATCGCTGGGATTCGAACCTGGGTTCACCTCATAGGAAGGCGCCTTGAATAAACTTAATCATGCCTTGACTTAAACTTTTAACATTCAACATACTGCAGTACTGGCAATAGCACCATCTGTTAAGCAATACGAGAAGTATTTCTTGCCATCAGTGGACATTTTATCATCAAAAAAAAAAAAATTTTAATTTCTTCAACAAATACAGAGAAATTTGAGAATATACAGTTAAACAGGAGATAAGTCGTAAAATACAGGAGTCTTCGCTAAAAAACAGGAGACTTGGCAGGTATAAAACAGGGTGCGTAGTCAGATTTTTGAACAAAAAATAAGCACCTTTTAAGTACTTTTTAAGCACTCAAAAAATATTTTTAATCACTTTCCAAAATAAAGAATTATTTTTCCTATTGTATAAAGTTCTTAATTTAAGAACATAAAATCAATAAAATTCAAAAACATTTTCACAAATTTCACTTAATCATGATAAAATAACTAGTTTCTGATAAATATTGCAGAGAAAATTGTGAAAATCAATTTTTTATCAGGAATATTGGGATAACTATGAATCCAGTCACAAGACGCTAAGTTTGTAAGTTCTTCCAGTACTTTTTAGTTTGTTTGTTTTTCTCTCTTTTTTACTTTAACTTTTCCTTTCTAATGAAGACACTTAGAGATCAAAGGAAAATTCCATCACAGGGTGAGAAATGGGTGACTCTCACTCGTTCACAAAAACAGAATGAGGTTTCTCTATTTTTAGAATAATTTCTTAGATTCATAAGGAAAAAAATTTTTTTTTAATTAAACTGTAGTGTGTCTATCACTACAAAAATACAATTCCAATTCATTAGTATATGAGACGCGTTAACTAAATTCTATGTTGGGGTACCCTTTTATAAATGAAGGTTGACGTTGTCGATGTGAATCTCCCCACATAAACATTCTTAAAATCATAAATTTTTAAATCTTCTAGATACCAAAAGGATCTTCACTAAATATATAAACTTACTATTTTAATTCTTTACAAATTTCGTCAATTCTTTATATCTATTCTTTTCAAATTTTGTAACTAACGTGCTAGATATGTTTACTCATTTTCTCCTCCTTTGTCAGTAACAAAAACAAATCATGCATAAATATTCCATAAAGCAGGGTTGCCACAGAAAAAAATGAACAAAATAGTTGCTTTTAGTAGCCTAAAGCATGAAAATAGTAGTCAAAAACTAGGAAAATAGTTGCCTAATAAGAACAAAAATTCATCAAAAATATGACTAAAATTTTGTTAATGACTTAATTGTCATATACCATCCAGGGCCGGCTTATGCATGTCGCGGCCCCTAGGCAATGCTCGTCTCGGGCCCCCTCCCCTACCGTCTTCTAACTTCCTAATTATTATATATCACAGTATATTATCACATTATTCAATAAAAATATTGAATCAAACAAAAAGAATATAAGTAATTAATATATGCATTTAAAAAAAATCATACAATAAGCTTAAACATTAACTCTTCTAACTTTTTTTGTTACAAAATCGTTCAAGACATCCTGAAAGTTAACCTTTTCCAATACATCATTTTCAATTGCCATTAAGGCCAATGAATTTAAACGGTTTTGAGACATAGTTGAACGAAGACAGTTTTTAATTAATTTCAATTCTCGGTGGCTAGTTCTTCCCCTTTGTGGTTCTGTATTAGAAGAAATTTAAGGAAACGTTCAGCCGAAGTGAAAATTCAATTGCACGAAGTGAAAATTCAACGATTACAATAAAAATGTTTCCAAAATGTTGTCTATGACACAATACAACATATGTATTTAGCGGATCGGGGAATTCCCCAGTCATGCGACGAACGAACCAGTACTGCCAACCTTATTTTTACATACTCTTTGGTAGCTTGGTCATAGAATATACATACCTATGGTAGGTACCAGAACAGTAAGTGTGCATTCACAACGTAGAATTTTGCGTGTTTTTCAAGCGTGTTGTGTTAAAAAAAGCTGCTCTTGCTGTATAGTCCCCTGATTAGTCGGCGTTAAAATTACCGCGATAAAATTGCTTGCGATTATATTTCTGCATTATATATGAACTAACTACCATAATATTAATATCTCATTTGGAATGCGTTCAGAAATGTACTAAAATAGCGTCGACGTAATGTACAGAGCAAGACAATCGTCATTGAAATTTCGAATTAAATTTTTACTGTTTAAGAAACATTGTCAATTTTTTTCTCTGTAGCACAGGGCCCCTAGGCAGTTGCCTACAGTGCCTAATGGATAAAACGGCCCTGATACCATCATCCATTCAGTCAAGTTGGTGGCAAATATGATAATTTTCATATAAATGTTTATATATTTATGAAAAGTGATTACTAAAATTCGAAATTCATGCATTGTAATACCGTTAAAAAAAATTTAAATAAAAAAATCATGCAGAATTTTTTAGCAATAATCATTGAAAAGGTGATCGAGAAATGAAATAGACTTACAATGGAATTTGTGCAGATTGAACGAACTAAAAAGTGAAGACTCAAATTTGCAATTAAAAATTTTTAACATTTTTTTTTTTAAGAAAAAAAAGTTCAGTGTGTTCAGGAACTATCTAGCAGGGCGCAGATATTTCACCAATTCATGCTTGAAAAAAAAACATATCTAGGAGTACAGAAGAGTCTCCCAATAGTCTCCTTTTCTTGAAAATAGTTGCTTTTTTAGCCTTTTCAGGCAAAAAAAAGTTGCCATAGTCGCCTCATGCCAAAAATAGTTGCAAATAGTTGCATTTTAGTCGCCTGTGGCAACCCTGATAAAGAAAAACATTGTTTTTTAAAATCATGATTACATAATAAAATATAATTACAACATGCGAATTTGAGTAATCATATTTTACACAATCGATTCCCGAAAATTCCATCACAAATTCCCATGGTCATTTTTAATGTTTCATTTGCAGCTCTCTGTGGTTTTTTAAACCTTTATTTTTTTTAAAATGGCATTTTATATTACACACTAATTTTGAATCACACATTTGAATAATAGCTTTTTTGCAAGAATACCAACATAAGTTCATATGGTGTCGCACCCACTATTTTTTTTTTTTTTTTTCAGTAGCAACTGTAAAGAAGAAATTCTACATGTTATAGAAAATTTGTAACCATGCCACAAAGCACAAAAATGAAAAATGTAGAAAAACAAAACTAGAATTTGATGATTTTTAAAACTGATTTGTCATTCAGCACACAAATATACGGCATTAATAATTTTTCAATGTGAGAAACAAAATAAATATGGCAGTCTTTTGAACTGTAGTGAAAATACTTAAGAAACATATAAAAAGTAGGTGTCTTTTTCTTTTGAACAAATGCGATGGAATTGAAAAATGTCTTCTAAATTTTGCAACCTTTTACAGTCCCCATACATAATACATGTTGATAATAATAAACATACTAGTTAAAATAACTTCCACAATAAACAGAATTTTCAAACATATGAATTGAACTTACGAGTTTCATCTAAGTTCCTCATCCTAACAGGCATCCTGCAACCTTCGGTCAAAGGCAACTATTATAAAATAAAAATATCAAATTAATAGCAAAATCAAATCTGCACTATTATTGATGATTTAACAATGGCAAACGTGATTGCGACACAAAGTGAAAAATCCTGAAAATTTCATATGCAAACACTCGATAACAAGATATCAATTTATATTCTATTCATATTTAATATAATTTTTTGAACTAAGATTTATAACTTAAACTACCTACCAATAAAGTATATGACACTTTCATAGTAACTAATTTAAGAAAAAACTAAGTTCATACAAGGATTGTGAGGTTGTATTTTAAGAACGTGAAAATAAAAATTGCGAAATTGGGTTTTAAAATTGCGTAAATACAATCGCAATGCATGATTTTTAGATCCCGTGAATACGAATAGCGACATTGGAATTTAAATTTGCTTAAATAAGAATAACGATATTGGATTTTTAAATCATGTGAATACGAGTCGTGACGCAAAATTTTTAAATCGCATGAATACGATTAAAAATTCGTAACTTTTAAATCAGGCAAATACGAAAATCGGTGTTTGTTATTAAAATTGAGTGGATATGAATGATTTTATAAATTCTTTA